TGTTTTTTTCCCTCCTGATGTGGCTGTACAACAGTTTCGGGTCAGATTTGGCTTTCGCTGCTATGTAATTTTTTATATTGTCTTTGGGCCTCCCTTCTTATCTGTGCATATTCGTTTTTCTCTACGACTGCTCTCCTTTATTCTCCTGGGCCCTTTTGCCTTCTATATTTTCTTCCATTCCCTAGCACATTTGGGTTTTTGCCTCCCTGCACCTTTGGGTAAACCAGGGGCTCATCCTAGCTTTTTCATTATTCCTGTTACCCTTGGGTACAAACCTCTCCTCAGCCTCCTTGAAATTTTGTTGCTACATATTCCATCATCTCATTAACTGGCTTCCCTGCCAGTTCTCTGTCCCACTGAACCCCTTCAAGGAAGTTCCTCTTTCCCTGTGTAGTCCCCTTTCTTGTAGTTTGGCTTCATTCGTCCGGGCCTTCCTGCTTCTCCCTCCACTTGTAGCTCTACTGTATATTCGAAGCTTAAAACCACATGGTCACTGACCCCAAAGGGTCTTTCATATGTGATGTCCTCGATATCTGCACTACTAAAGGTGAATACTAAGTCCAGCCTTGCTGGTTCATCCTCTCCTCTCTCTCTTGTAGTGTCCCTTACGTGTTGGTACATGAAGTTTTCCAGTACCAACCTCAATCATTTTAGCCCTCCATGTATCTTGCCCCCATGCGGGTCCAAGTTCTCCCAATCGATCTCCTTGTGGTTAAAGTCCCCCATGATCAGGAGCTTTCCCCTGCATGCATAAAGCTCTTCTGGCCACTCAGCCAGTGTGTCAACCATCGCTCTATTGCTCTCGTCGTACTCTTGCCTTGGCCTCCTGCTGTTTTTGTGGTGGGTTATACATCACTGCTATTTCCACCTTGGGGCCTCCAGAGTGAAGCGTTCCCGCTATGTAATCACTTTCTTCTCCGCTGTCTCCTCTCTCCAGCTCATCAAAATTTTTCCCGCGATTTTTTGATCAGCAATGCCACTCCTCCACCCCCCCTGTTTCCCTCTGTCTTTCCTTGGGATTTGGTATCCTGTTGGAAAGATGGCATCTGTTATCATACCTGTAAGCTTGGTTTCTGTGAGAGCTATGATGTCTGGTGATGCCTCTTTGACTCTTTCATGCCACTCCTCCCACTTATTTGTTATCCATCAGTGTTTGTGTACCATACCTTCAGTTTCCTTTCCAACACGGTTTTGGGGGGGCCTGTGAGGGAGGGAGACCTGGTAGCATACTGTGGGATTCTATACTCGGTGTTGGGTGGAGGCTGTGGGTATGGACTGTAGTGTGTGTTGGATGGTGTGATAGGTTGTATGGTTCTAGAATAGTTGTGGTGTGCTTGCCCTTGCTGTTCTGTTCTGCTCTGACTGACCTTTTGCGGGTTCCATCCTTGTCTTTTTTTCCTAGCTCCTTTCGCTTTTTTGTCCTCTCCCTCAGCTGCTGTCATTCTGTTTGTGTTCTGTCTCTGTCTAGGAACCCCCTCTTGTACTCTTCCGAGTATTTCAATCGGGGTTTCTCTTGGAGGATCCTGTTCCGCACTGTTTCCGTCCTGAGAACAGCTTCATTGGTGGGTTTTCTCCCCTTCGAGTACCCCCCTATTCTATAAAAATTTACACTGTCGTCCATCTCTTCACCTATTTCCGTGATGATTTTCTCAATCTCCTTCTTTCTTCCTGCTGCCTTTCAGTGTGGTCCTTTCCTCTCTCTCCTGAAGCCCATGGATAAACACTGATTTTGCCCTTTTCTCCTCCCATTGCCTCACCCTCTGTGACTCTGGATCCTACCTGTATGTGGTCAGTTTCTCCCTTGATTTTTCCAGTGGCTCTTGATAGCATGGTTGTGCCCCCAGCATTCGACCTATCACCCTCTCCACTGCAACCCGCTGTTCTTCCCTTTCACTCCTTGGCCCTCCTTGGCAGGCTGATATGACCTTAGCATAATTCATAATTCCTTCCTTCCTGTTCTGCCTCGCAGCTTCATATGCTGTCTTCTCTGGTCACTGCCCCTGTAACTCGCTTCAGCCTATTTATCTCAACTTCTAGGACCCTTATCTTGGCTACTGCAGTTTCGACTTGTGCCTCCCAAGCCTTTGTCTCCTTCTCCAACCTCTTTTCCAATTTCACAGAGAGCTCTTTCTCCATTTTTTTCAGAAAGCTCTCCTAATTTTCTCTCCCACTCTTGTTCCATTCTTTTCTACTGCTCCTCCATCCACTCCTCCCTACCAGAACCATTCTCATCTGATCCTTGGTTCCTGTGAGTCCCCACCATTTTTTTTTTGTGAGAGAAGAGAGAAGGGAAAGGTAGAAGGAGAGAGAGAGGGGAAGAGTGAGAAGGGAAAGGGAGAGAGAGTGTGAGAGGGGGAAAGAGAGAGAAGGGAAGGGAAGGAGAGGGGGAGAGTGAGAAGGGAAAAAATGGGAAGAGATGGAGAGAGAGAGAGAGAGAGAGAGAGAGAGAAGGTAGAAAGAGAGAGGGGGATAGTGAGAAGGAAAAAGGGGAAGAGAGAGTGAGAGTGAGAGTGAGAGAGAGAGGGGGAGAGAGAGTGAAGGGAAGGGGAGGAGAGGGGGAGAGTGAGAAGGGAAAATGGGAAGAGAGAGAGCAAGAGAGAGAGAGAGAGAGAGAGAGAGAGAGAGAGAGGGGAGAGAGAGAAGGAGGGGGGAGAGAGGGAGGGAGAGAGAGGGAGAGAGGGAGGGAGAGAGAGAGAGAGGAGAGAGAGGGGAGAGGGAGAAGAGGAGAGAGAGAAGAGAGAAGGCAAAGAGAGGGGGAGAGAGAGAGGGGGAGAGGGGGAGAAGGGGGAAAGAGGGGGGAATGGAAGAGCGAGAGGGAGAGAGAGGCTATGGGGAGAGAGGGGCTAGGGGTAGAAAGAGGGGAGGAGGGAGAGAGATGGGAAAAGGGAGAGGGGAGAGATATTGGGAGGGGAGAGATGTTAGAGGGGGAGAGATGTTAGAGGGGGGGAGGTGTTAGAGGGAATAGATGGGAGAGGGAAGAGAGAGAGAGAGATAGGTAGAGAGTGATAAGTAGAGAGAGAGATATAGGTAAAGAGTGAGATAGGTAGAGAGAGATAGGTCTCTACCTCAGGCAATCTCCCTGTTTTGATAGATGTATTGAATATTGTTGTTAGGGGTACACATAGCGGCTCTGCTCCCCCTCTCAGGACCCATGAAGAGATGTTATCTGTCTCCATTGTCTATGAGGTATCTAGCTCACTCAGAAGCCTCCTCACTTCTTCCTCAGTTGTGTGTACTGTGTCCAGCACTTGGTGGTGTGCCCTACCTCTCCGTCTTTCTGGAGCCCCTTCTGTCTCCTCTGTGAACACTTCTTTGAATCTCTTGTTGAGTTCCTCACATACTTCACGGTCATTTCTTGTTGTCTCTCCTCCTTCCTTTCTTAGCCTGATTACCTGGTCCTTGACTGTTGTTTTCCTCCTGATGTGGCTGTATAACAGCTTTGGGTCAGATTTGGCTTTCACTGCTATGTCGTTTTCATATTGTCGTTGGGCCTCCCTTCTTATCTGTGCATATTCGTTTCTGGCTCTACGATTGCTCTCCTTATTCTCCTGGGTCCTTTGCCTTCTATATTCCTTCCATTCCCTAACACACTTGGTTTTTGCCTCCCTGCACCTTTTTGTGAACCATGGGCTCATCCTGGCTTTTTCATTATTCCTGTTACCCTGGGTACAAACCTCTCCCCAGGCTCCTTACACATTGTTGCTACGTATTCCATCATCTCATTAACTGGCTTCCCTTCTCTGTCCCATTGAACCCCATTCAGGAAGTTCCTTATTCCTGTGTAGTCTCCTTTCTTGTAGTTTGGCTTCATTTGTCCTGTCCTTCCTGCTTCCCCCTCCACTTTTAGTTCTACTGTGTATTCGAAGCTTAAAACCACATGATCTCTGGCCCCAAGGGGTCTTTCATATGTGATGACCTCAATATTTGCACTACTCAAGGTGAATACTAGGTCCAGTCTTGCTGGTTTATCCTCTCCTCTCTCTCCTGTAGTGTCCCTTACGTGTTGGTACATGAAGTTTTCCAGTACCATCTCCATCATCTTAGCCCTCCATGTATCTTGCTCCCCATGTGGCTTCAAGTTCTCCCAATCGATCTCCTTGTGGTTAAAGTCACCGATGATCAGGAGCTTTGCCCTGCATGCATGAGCTCTTCTGGCCACTGCAGCCAGTGTGTGTGTGTGTTTGTGTGTGTGTGTGTGTGTGTGTGTGTGTGTGTGTGTGTGTGGTGTGTGTGTGTGTGTGTGTGTGTGTGCATATATGTGTATATGTATGTATGTGTGTGTGTGTGTATGTGTGTGTGTGTATGTGTGTGTGAATGTGTGCATATGTGTGTATGTGTGTGTTTGTGTGTGTGTATGTGTGTGTGTATGTATGTGTGTGTGTGTATGTGTGTATGTGTGTATATGTGTCTGTGTGTGTGTGTGTATGTGTGTGTGTGTGTGTGTGTGTGTGTGTGTGTGTGTGTGTGTGTGTGGTGTGTGTGTGTGTGTGTGTGTGTGTGTGTGTGTGTGTGTGTGTGTGTGTGTGTGTGCCTCTACATAATCTATGAAAATCGACATCCGAAACAAATGATGTAAATGGTGGGTAAACTGTGTCGTCATCTTTGTGAATAAAGTAGAACTAGTGATGGCGTGGTAAATTATGTTGGTGTGTGATAAACAAGTCGAGGCCAGAGTCAGCAGTGTCGAACACAACGTCTGAAGTCTCGTGTCCGATTGTTTACTGCCCACCACCAGCCTCCCTACCCTTCCTCCCTTCCCTCCCCCTGCTCACTGTCCCCTTCCTCCCCCGTAAAACATGCCTCCCCACTCCCCATCCGTACCTCCCCAAACTACCCTTCCCTTATTCTTCCCTTCCATATTCCTCTCTTATCCCCCATCCCTTTCCCTCTTAATTTTCCCCCATCCCTTCTTTATTCTCAACCATCCTTCCTTTTCTTATTTCTCCGATATCCTTTCCTTATTTCTCCCCCATCCCTCCCGCAAGCAAGGTTTCCGTCCCATGCCTCTTTCCCTTCCACCCAGCCAGTGTTACTCTCCCTCCCATAAATACGCACTTCATCTTACTATTCTTCCGCTGCATATTGCCCTTCTTCCGCTGCATATTGCCCTTCTTCCACTGCATATTGCTCTTCTTCCACTGCATATTGCCCTTCTTCCACTGCATATTGCTCTTCTTCCACTACACATTGCCCTTCTTCCGCTGCATATTGCCCTTCTTCCGCTGCATATTGCTCTTCTTCCACTGCATATTGCTCTTCTTCCACTACACATTGCCCTTCTTCCGCTGCATATTGCCCTTCTTCCGCTGCATATTGCTCTTCTTCCACTGCATATTGCTCTTCTTCCACTGCATATTGCTCTTCTTCCACTACACATTGCCCTTCTTCCGCTGCATATTGCCCTTCTTCCGCTGCATATTGCTCTTCTTCCGCTGCATATTGCCCTTCTTCCGCTGCATATTGCTCTTCTTCCACTGCATATTGCCCTTCTTCCACTGCATATTGCCCTTCTTCCACTGCATATTGCTCTTCTTCCACTGCATATTGCTCTTCTTCCGCTGCATATTGCTCTTCTTCCACTGCATATTGCCCTTCTTCCACTGCATATTGCCCTTCTTCCACTGCATATTGCCCTTCTTCCACTGCATATTGCCCTTCTTCCGCTGCATATTGCTCTTCCACTGCATATTGCCCTTCTTCCACTGCATATTGCTCTTCTTCCACTGCATATTGCCCTTCTTCCACTGCATATTGCCCTTTTTCCACTGCATATTGCCCTTCTTCCACTGCATATTGCCCTTCTTCCACTGCATATTGCCCTTCTTCCACTGCATATTGCCCTTTTTCCACTGCATATTGCCCTCTTCTACTGCATATTGCCCTTCTTCCACTGCATATTGCCCTTCTTCCACTGCATATTGCTCTTCTTCCACTGCATATTGCTCTTCTTCCACTGCATATTGCCCTTCTTCCACTGCATATTGCCCTTCTTCCACTGTATGCCTCCCTTCTTCCACTGTATATTGCCCTCTTCCACTGCATATTGCCCTTCTTCCACTGCATATTGCCCTTCTTCCACTGCATATTGCCCTTCTTCCACTGTATGCCTCCCTTCTTCCACTGTATATTGCCCTCTTCCACTGGATATTGCCCTTCTTCCACTGCATATTGCCTTTCTTACACTGCATGTTGCCCTTATTCCACTGCATATTGCCCTTCTTCCACTGCATATTGCCACTCTTCCACTGCATATTGCCCTTCTTCCACTGTATGCTGCCCTTCTTCCACTGCATATTGCCCTTCTTCCACTGCATATTGGCCTTTTTCCACTGTATATTGCCCTTCTTCCACTGCATATTGCCCTTCTTCCACTGCATATTGCCCTTCTTCCACTGCATATTGCCCTTCTTCTACTGCATATTGCCCTTCTTCCACTGCATATTGCCTTTCTTACACTGCATGTTGCCCTTATTCCACTGCATATTGCCCTTCTTCCATTGCATATTGCCACTCTTCCACTGCATATTGCCCTTCTTCCACTGTATGCTGCCCTTCTTCCACTGCATATTGCCCTTCTTCCACTGCATATTGGCCTTTTTCTACTGCATATTGCCCTTCTTCCACTGCATATTGCCTTTCTTACACTGCATATTGCCCTTCTTCTACTGCATGTTGCCCTTCTTCCACTGCATATTGCCCTTCTTCCACTGCATATTGCCCTTCTTCCACTGCATATTGGCCTTTTTCCACTGCATATTGCCCTTCTTCCACTGCATATTGCCTTTCTTACACTGCATATTGCCCTTCTTCTACTGCATGTTGCCCTTCTTCTACTGCATGTTGCCCTTCTTCCACTGCATATTGCCCTTTTTCCACTGCATATTGCCCTTATTCTACTGCATGTTGCCCTTCCTCTACTGCATATTACCCTTCTTCCACTGCAAGTTGCCGTCCTTCCACTGCATGTGCAGAATCTTTGCAACAAATTTGAAGATAAATGGCAGATGTAGATAATGAAAGTTCAGAATCACAATTCTTGAGAATGAAAATTAGCCTGATCGTAGAGAACGTGAAAAAATAATTCCTGGGAGTCACGATAAGCACAAATCTGAAGCCAGGACTGCAGCGCCTACACGCACACGCAATAACACTGAAAGACTGCTGGGATTTATATCAAGAAGTGTAAGTAACAGGAATCCAAAGGTTATTCTGTGGCTCTGTTCATCATGACTAAGGCATCACTTTAATAATGAATATAAATGAACTGGAGAACAACTAGAGGAGGATGACAATTTACGAAGGTAAATTGAGAACTCCGAGCCTTCACTCTCTCTTTATCTCTCTCTCTCTCTCTCTCTCTCTCTCTCTCTCTCTCTCTCTCTCTCTCTCTCTCTCTGTGTGTCTCTCTTGAAGGACATAGAATGAAGGGCAATGTTTTTAAAGCATACATTAAAGAGACAAGATTAATTAGAGAAGATATAAATAAGGCGCTAAGAATATCTAACCAGAAAAGACCTCCGGACAATAGATTAAAATTGGATAAATCCTGATTTGGAAATGATATAGGTAAGTACTGGTTTGGCAATAGAGGTGTATGAGTGTAAGAATTTGCCAAGTAGACAATGAAGCTTAACGACTGGATAGCCTTAAAAATGAGTTAGATAAAGATATGAGCGAGAAAGGATTGTTTACATATGAACTTGTCTATTATTGGCTAGTAGACCTACTGCAATGTTCATCCAGTCTGTCAACACACGCGACTCCATGGAAACAAGTAAAAGTCAACAAACGTTTAATCTAATCCATCGTCAAGAGTTCGAACCCACACTAGTCGTATCCAGTCGGGTCGAAGTATCTCCAACATTGTGTCAGAAACAGTTCTACCTTGCTGGTCATTATTTTACAGTAAAAATAAAGAAAAAGATTCAGATTGTATTTCCTTACAATATGTGATTTCTTTACATTGTGTGATTACAATTTTGATTTGTTAAGCACAAAGAAAGCCACTATCATGCCGGGGCATTTCGGACAGTCCTTAAACAGGGATGTGTGCAGTCACCTTAGAAGTTTAATATATTTGTTGAAGAAGTTATTACAAACGAACGTTAGGGTGTTGGGGAGATGTGCGGGAGTTAGATACAAACTGGGAATTGTCACAGTTGCTCCATACCGATGACACCGTTCTTTGTGGGAGATTCTGAAGTTGCAAAGATTAATAAAGGAATTTAGGAGGATATGTAAAATAAGGAAATTGAAGGTGACCATGTAAAAGAGCAGAGTAATGAGAGGAACAAAAAAAATCTTGGTACTGAAAGATTGGACGTCAGATTGGAGGAAGAGAGTATGAAGTAAACATTTCTAGATATTTGGGAGTTGACTTACTGGTGGATGGGCCTATGAAGAACGAGGGAAACCATAGAAGAGAGGAAAAGGGTGGGTGATCTGTTGAGGCATCTTTAGAGTCAAAAAGTTCGTTCTCTGAGTATAGTGGTTTAGTATATATACTGCCGAAGCAAGTACCTCTGAATATAGTTGTACCAACATTATTATACGAGTGTAAAGTATGGATTATAAATGTTTCAGCGGCAGTGGACATGTCGTGTTTTGAGAGTGATGTGTGGCGTGAATATTATACAGAATTCAGAGCGTGAAGATTAGAAAGTGTGGGGTCACCAAAACTGTAAATCAGAGGATTGAGGATGTGCTGTTGAGGTAGTTTATAATAATAATAATATAGTAATAATAATAATAATAAGTAATAATAATAATAATAATAATAATAATAATAATATTATAATTATTATTAATATTATTATTATTATTATTATTATATATTATTATTATTATTATTATTATTATATTATTATTATTATTATTTCTACAAGTACATGTACAAGGTTGTATACCTAGCTGACATCAATGACATAATACTATACAGAAAATCTCTTGTTTTGCAGAGCATTTCGGGCAAATTGGGTCAAATTTATCCCAGGATGCGACCCACACCAGTCGATTAACACCCAGGTACCATTTTACTGACGGGTGAACGGGGACAGCAGGTGTCTTATGGAAATACATCCTAATATTTTCCAGCCGTGCCGAGGGGTCATTCCCCGGTCCCCAGTGTGTCAGCCGAGTACGCTAGCAGTCGAGCTTGGACCTATTTGGACATATAGAGAGGATGGAGCAAAATAGGATGACTTGGAGGATATATAAATCTTCGGTGGACGGACGGAAAGGTAGGGATCATCCCAAGAAGGATTGGAGGGTGAAGGTAAGAGAGGTTTTGAGTGCTATAGGCTTGAACATCCTCCAGTGAAGTCAGAGAAGGCAAGTGGCTTTTGTAACCTTACGTGCTGTTGGAGTGTGAGCAAGGTAACCTGGAAGGAATTCAGTGAAGCCGGTTGGTCCGAATTGGGTCAGGGAGGCGGCAAGTACAAAGCCTGCACTCTGAAGGGGGGGTGGGAATATTGCAGTTCGGTTTGCCACCTGAACTTTGTCAACACACTATATACAATAAGTGAGTGAATAATACGTGAAACTGATTCCTTTTTTCTAAGGGTTCACCCTATCGTGGAAGTTGGATGATGTTATATAAATGTAATATATATATATATATATATATATATATATATATATATATATATATATAATATATATATATAATATATATATATATATATACAGACTGTGCAACTATTGACATGTTGTGTACGCCGTCCCATGAACCCTGGAATGGGTCTCATAACTTTCAAAAGCCTCAGCTCTTTGGCCTCAAATATTAAAATAAAAAAAAAAGTGCTTCCTATGTCAAGAACGGAGGATAATCACAGTTAAGTGTATAGAGGGCAAGTATGTTACTTTTATGCGCTGTGTGATTTTTTTCTCTTCCCGTTAAATCACACTAAATGTATTAGTGTCTAGCTCTTCTGAACGGGTTCACGATTTATCGGCTGATTTATTGTCTGGTTAGGATGGTGCTCATCAGGTTTAGTACATCTGTCAATATTTCAGATTGGTTTAAATAAGTTTAAGCCGCTGGAATCCATGACATAAGTAGAGAATAAATATCTCTTCTGAATGGCTTCAAAATTTTCAGCAACCGAAATACAACTAGTTTGTAAAGTATATATTCGCGTACCACCCGGTAACCATTGCGCTGTTAATTAGTGCTGACAAATTTTGAGTAGACAATGAGGATAAAATGAAACACTATCAAGTACCTCATTCTTCCTGGACTAAAGTCACTGACACCTGGACTCTCAACCGTGTAATAGTATAGGTACAGTTCTACTCTTTTTCCACATAGCTTCTTATATGCAATGCTGAGAGGTTCAGCTGTAGTAATTGCGTTAATTTGTCACAGGTGACGGTATCACAAGCTGATTGTAGCAGCCACCGCGTCACAAAATCTAGTGGATGTTTTAGTACCCGATTCTAATGCTCTCAGGTCTCTGCGCATCTGTATTTCCTCGTCTATCAGAGCAGATACCCTTCAGCAGGATGGTTTTAACAATGGAAAGATGGATGCCCAGTTCTAACTCAACCTCCGGCCTGTCACAAGCAGATCTGCCTTCTTTATCATTGTCATCGCGGTAGCTGATTCCTATGTCGTGAAGGTATCCAAACAAATGAGATGCAAAAGCCTTTGTTCTGAGGAGACTAGGAGTCGTATGTTGGTGGTGAGCTTCACTGTGGCTGTCTTCACGTTGAACTGAGCCGATAATTCAGTGTGATGCTGCAAGTCGTTACAGGCTTAGTACCCCAATGGCAATAAGTAATTTTGTCCGACTTTTTTGAGTTATTCTAGATAATTTACACACCTGGAGTCTACCTGGAGGGTATTCCGGGGATCAACGCCCCCGCGGCCCGGTCAACGACGAGGCTTCCCTGTGGATCAGCGACTGATCAACCAGGATGTTACTGCTGGCCGCACGTAGTCCAACGTACGAACCACAGCCCGGCTGATCTGGCACCGACTTTAAGTATCTGTCCAGCTCCCTCTTGAAGGCAGCCATGGGCCTATTGATAATTCGCCTTATGCATGGTTGGAGGATGTTGAACTTATGGTGTTTTCTCTTAGTGTACCAATGGTGCCCCTACTTTTCATTGGGGATATTTTGTATCGCCTGCCCAGTCTTTTACTCTCGTAGAGGAGTGATTTCTGTGTGCAGATTCGGGACCATTCCTTCTAAGATTTTCCAAGTGTAGATTATGATATATCTCTCTCGCCTACGTTCAAGTGAGTACAAGTCAAGTGCTTCCAAGCATTCACAGTAGTTGAGGTGTTCGATGGAACTTATATGCGCTCTCTAGGTTTGCGATATTAACGGAGATGTTAATGTACAGCAGTATTCCAGTCTAGAGAGAACAAGTGATTTGAAAAGGATCATCATTGGCTTGGCATCTCTTGTTTTGAGCGTTCTCGTTATCCATCCTATGATTTTCGTTGCAGTTGTGATCGTGGCACTGTTGTGATCCTTGAAAGTGAGATCCTCAGACATTACCACTCCCAAGCCGCTCTTCACATTATTTTTTCTCTCTATTGTATGATCACAGTTTGTAGTTTACTCAGTTCCTATTATTATCTCCTCCAGTTTTCCACAACGGAGCAGATGGAATTTGTCTTCAATGAACTTCGTACTGTTCTCCATTGCCCATTCCAAAACTTGGCTTATATCTTCTTAGAGGTTAACCGTGTCCTCAACAGACGACGCGGTTACATGTTACTGTGCAAAACAAGCACAGGGGGAGCTGACTGATAGTTCTAGGTCTTTTGTGCTGCAATCAACACACTCACCTGTATCTTGCAATGTTGCAGAAATGAGTAGAAAGTCCAAGCAGATCATCTCAGGGGAACGTTCTGAACTGATCTGCTTGGACTTCCTACTCATTTCTGTAACATTGTAAGCTCCTGGTGATGAGTTGATTGCAACACGAAAGACCTTGAGCTATCAGTCAACTCTCCCTGTGGTTCTTTTGCATCTTGTATTGCTTGATCGCGATTATT